CTTAACAAAATTAGGGTCCAAGATCTTAACATCGTATTCGCTTTCCAAGCAATAATCAATTACGTTATTAATGTTTTGATCGATTGTCAAGAAATCTCTTTCCCGAATAACTCTATCTATATCTACAGCATCTGTAACAACAAAATAAATTATAATAATTTGCAATAAATTCTTTGTATCATAGTTTTGTATCTAACATACTTATGCGATTCCAATCAACTCGTATCCTAGATCCATGCATATTAAAATAAAATCCGGACTCCCTGGCAAGCTTCGGGAAATCGTGGCACCAATTAGTGCCGGCTCGAAATGAGAATGCCATTATATTTGACAGACCTACAGTATAAAAAATATTGGGAAATATCTTATTTCCATTTCCGTTTACTTCTGCATTTACAAATCACATATATTCGTGTGACATTTTTATTGTAAAACATGATTGTTTAGTCAGTTGTAAACAATACAATCTGCATATTATTTGTAAATTAAACTATAAACACAACTATGGAACATAGACTAATATATCCATGACTCGCTTACACCAGAGACCATAGACATAGTATAGATAGACCGAGCATACTATATACCAGGCAATGGGCGACATGTGCGAGTGAGAAGAAACAACATCTGATTTTTTCTTTCTCTTTAATAGAAAAAGGTGAGGGAAACATTAAGTGGGGACTATGTCTATGATAGGAATTATACACACAATCTCCATTTAATGTCCCCCATTTTCTTCTATTAGAGAGAGAGAAAAAATCAGATGTTGTTTCTTTTCACTCGTCATGTCGCCCATTGCCTGGTATATAGTATGCTCGGTCTATCTATACTATGTCTATGCCAAAGATACTACATCAGAGACTGGCCACTTTTGATTGGTCCGCCATCTTTTGGTTATTCCCACTTATTTTCAAATCATTAACTACATTAATCTTAAAATTATAATTTTAAAAAAATAAATGTTAAAGATTAATAAAATGTGTATATTTATAAAACTTTATTTTACATAATTATACCACTTTATTAATATATTTTTTTAATTTTAACAATTTAAATTTATTACTATTTATTGTTTATTTTTAATTTTAATTATAATATATTTATTTATAATTAAATAAAATAATACAATCTATAAATAATACAAATAAAGTAAAATAAATAAAACAAATAAAAAAATAATTCTCTTTATTAAAATAATACCATCTTATATTCTCGCAATAATTAGAATATTACATTAACATTACTTATTTACATTTATTATTTAGATTTATTATTTACATATTTTTTATTATTATTATAAACAAACTTTTTATTGCAATATAAAATAAAATTTAAATAAGAAAATAAACAAAAATATAAAATTAATATAAAATAATGAAACTCTCGAAAATTAAAAAGTTGTAAAGAAAAAATGAAAGAAAAAAAGAATAAGAATTTTTCATAGACATTCTTAGGGTTTATTCCTTCAAAAATCTAAAAATTTTATTACAATCGCCATAGATTTACTGTCATATATTTTATGTGTACTGACATTATTGTTTTTCTTTTTTATAAAAAATTCTTAATCTAAAAATGATATATCTTTTTACAATTTTAAAAAACAGATCATTACAAATAAATATATGATTCGCATTTATTTCTTTACATTTTGCAACCATATAAAGCTCAATGTCTAGGATCTCTTGGAAAAACTTTCATGATATAACTTTTTCCTCGATGAATTATTGCAAAATGGTACTGAATATTCACCCATTTTATTATTTATTGATTAATCATAATTAATTAATTATCAATATATTTCGTAATTTTATCATCCTATATTATTTGATGATATATATGATACG